GCAGTCGCGAGGGCGAAGCCCCGCCGTCGAGGAAAGACCAGGACGAGGCCCGGCGCCGAGAAGGGCGCCGCTGCGCCGCCTGCCGAGTCGTCGGCGCCGTTGAAGAGGCCGCTCCCGAGGTGACGGCACCGCCGCCGAGGGTGAGGCACCTGCCGAGGGCGACGCTGCCGCGTCGGAGAGCCTGGCCGAGTCCAGCACCACCACCGAGGAGGCCGCCCAGGAGACGGCACCCCCAGCTGAAGGCCAGGATGGACAGAACAACGACGACAACAACGATGACAACGACGATAACAACAACAACAACAATGATGGAGAGGACGGCCAGGGAGGCCGCGGCGGTAAGAAGAACAAGAACAACGGCAACAACATCATCGACGAGATCCTCGGCGGCGGCGGGCAGGGACGCGGCGACAAGAAGGGCCAGCAGGCGGCGCTCACGCAGGCCATTGTCCAGCTGACGCAAGCCATGGGTCTCGGCGGCATCCTCAACCTCAACGGCCTCGCCAACATTGGCATCGGCCAGGAGCTCCAGCTGCTGCTCCAGCTGCAGCAGATTGCGCAGATCCAGTCGGCGGGCTTCATCACCCAGGTCGACATTGTGGGACTGCTGCAGCAGAACCAGCTCTTTGGTACGTTGGGCGCACAATGCAAGCAAGCGTCACATGTTTCACCTTTTGCTGACCTCGTGACCAGGAGGCCGTGGAGGCATCTTCAAGCGCCAAGAGGAGCTGCTCCTCAGCAAGGCGTAGAAGAGTAAAAGGATACCAAAAAGGAACACAGCTGGAGGGGTTTCAAGACCTGGAAAAGCTTGCGCGAAGGAGGGCACTGGGCTTTCTTTCCCTTTGGCAGGGAAGTCCGGGCCTCGCGCCGAGCGGTATGTGATGGAGGGGATTTCTGGCTTGTCAGCCTGAGTGAGACAGACATCCATGTTCAATAAAATAATTCCTATGATATTAGTCCTCGCCTGCTGCGCTTTCTGTGTTGGTGCAGTCGTCATTTGTCCAAGCACTGCCGCTGAAATTTGGATCCTGGCGCTCGCCTCGCCAGCGAACCCTTCGACGTCGGACTGTGCAGTTGCGCGCTTTGGTCAATTCGCAGAGTACGATGTAGTCTGTACGCCATGCACCTACCATACATATCGAGATGCCATTGCGTGCCATCAGATACCAGACACCAGATTTTTTAGACAACATGGCCTGCCGCCAGATGCATCGTGAATGAAACCAGGCATGGCCCTCTGCCCTGAGAAGCAGGCCCACCAGAGACATGCACGGTCTCAAGGCCGTCCCAAGGCCGTCCCAATCCGCCGTCACCATATCTGCCATCCCATCTGACGAAAGAGCTGACAGACGTGCGCGTAAGGCGACACCAGCCTGGCCGAGGCGACACCAGCCTGGCCGAGGCGACACCAGCCTGGCCGAGGCGACACCAGCCTGGCCGAGGTGACACCAGCCTGGCCAAGCCAAGACACTGTCACGTTCGTCTTGTCAGAAAGCTGCCCGGATGTCCCCAAGCTCCGGGCCCAGCACAGGTGGCAGCGTCAATGCAAACTGTGCATCATCGGCGGCCTGTGACGGTCTGAGGGAGGTGCTCGTCTGTCAGTGGCCGCTCGGACGCATGACAGGAGCAGCCAGATCCGACACGGGCGGGGTGACAGACGTGCAGGGGGTTCGTGTGCATGCCTCTCGTACCGAAGGCTTCTGTGGGCAAGGGGGCTCGTGTGTGCAAGGCTCGTGTGGCCATGTGGGTGGTCGGATTGCCCTTGGGCGTGTGCGCATGTCGCCAAACCTTACTTGAGCCTCTTAAGGCGCCCCAACCAAGTACCAAGGACCCTTCTCTGGTGGGTGTTTGGTGTACCAAGACGCCCAAGACGCCCAAGAGTCGCAAGGCGCCCAAGACCTCCGAGAGACGCGGCTCTGCAACTGCAAACAGCCTGCGCCTTGACCTCGACACATGCATCTACCCCACATGGAATCCCACGTCCACGTTTCTTCGAACCAGTTCCTGACAGTTCTTGGCCGTCTTGGGGCGTCGTGTCCGAGTCACGCCTCCGGGGCCAGAGAGCATCTTTGACCGCTTCGGCGAAGCAGCAGGGAAAGAAAGGAAGGTGACGGAAGAAAAAAGCCATCATCTGGTGTTTAACCACGCCTGATCCTCGGTCACCAGCATCGGCAATTGAATCGCGCCCACTCTTTCGTCGTCTGATATCGTCAAGGACCCCCCCCTTCCTACCCCCCAAACCGGCCGGTGCTACGCTGTGACTGTGCCGTACACTTGTGCCTCTCTGCTATATGCCAACGTCACACTCTCACCCGCGCATCGAAAAGCTCATCAGACGGCCAGCCGCCCAGACGCCGATCCCGCTGTTCCCACCTCACCCTGAGGAAGACCTCCCATCCGGTCCTTGGCTTTTCCTCACACCGTCTCGCCGCTGCCGGATGTCCCACCTATTCCCCGTAACCTCCTGTCGTCATTGGGCCTGCCTCGCGTGATCAACAGGAAATCCTGCTAAATCCAGTCTTCGTTTCCCAGATAGACTTAAAAGTCGTCCATCTACAACCAAGTCCCCCGCCCCTGGGCTTTCATGCGGAGCTGAGCCCCTTCGGCAACGCAGGGTCCCGTCCCCAGGATGGCACGTCGTCTCAAAGCGCTACCATCCCAGCCCTGCCGCTGCTCCTGCTCCTGCTCCTGCTGCTGCCAATTACCTGCAGTGCTCGGGCAACCATGTACTATGTTCCTTGGCTGTTTGTATGGCACTTGGGACGATGATACGTCTGTCCCTCGTGAGCAGCCCCCCCCCCCCTTGCGCCCCTCAAGATGCCATCCGACTGGTAAAGGTGCCACGACGTGCGCACGGGGAAACGTATCGTCCCATGCCAGGCCTGCACTGAGCCCCATGATGTGACCCGTTGCTCTCCCCTGTCGATGTTTGACTGAGCCTAATCTTTGTGTATGGGAAGGCAGGGCCACGACTGGTTCGCGATGGACACGGATCTTCCTCAGAGCAATCTTCCGAGGGGAAGGGGAGGGGGGAGGGGGGAGGGGGAACCGTGCCAGCCGCCTCGTCTGCTGCCTCGAGATACCATCCTTGGCACGCCTGATATATAAGAGGTCGTCCCGTCGTCGACAATGCAATCTTCTTTTTTGTTTCCTCATCCCACACACAATAATCTGGTCCGGTCTCATTCCTTCTCATACTTTTCCATTCTTTCTCTTCAGAGGTGCGTCTCCTGGATGATCTTCACCAGTCTCCAGCCAAACATCCCCCCCCTGAATATTCTCCGACTAACTAATAAACCTCAAGCTGTGCTCGTTGTTCACTTCACTCCCTTCTTCTTCAAAAGATACCCTGAACACCCAGAGCTGTGCTCATTCCTGTCTTGTGTCCTATAACTCTAATTCCCCTGCAAACAACCACTCACTATCAATCAAACCATCCACACACTCCCTACCGCCAACATGAAGTTCTCCACCATCATCGCCGCCGCCATGGCCACCTTCGCCGCCGCCGCCCCCGTCGCCGACTCCAACACCGCCGCCTCGACGCCGTCGCTCCAGTCCCTCGAGTCCCGCGCCGTCTTCGACCTGTCTCAGCTCAACGGCCTGCAGGGCTTCCAGAACGTCGACCTCAACTACCTGCTGCGCCTCAACAGCGTCGACCTCAACCTCTTCGCCCAGCTCGGCCAGGTCCAGAACTTCAACCTGCTCAACTTCCAGCATCTCTTCAACGTCCAGCAGTTTGACGTCCTCGCCCTGCTCCAGCTGCAGCAGCTCCAGACCCTCCTCGCCCTGCACGGCCAGGGCGTCTTCAACGGCCTCAACCTCGTCGACCTGCGCCTCGGCGGCCTCAACCTCGGCCTCGTGGGCGGCATCCAGGGCGTCAACCTCGCCCAGTTCATCGGTGGCGACGTCATCCCTCAGGTCGCGCAGATTGCGCAGCAGCCCAGTATGTAGCCCTCTTCACCCCTCCTCCTTGCCACAATGTTCTCGCCAGCTTGAATCACGACTAACGATGCCATAGCAAACTTTGTCGTCGTCGCAAAGAACTAAGTTGCAGGGAATTGATGGTGGTTTCCACCGATCCGAGCATCCCCCGCCCCGCTTCCCCGGCCGGGTCACTAAAGAACAGAGGACTCAGGATCGGTGCGGAGGGCTTGTTTGGCAGTGGTAGCATTGCGAGTTGTTGTCGCTGGTCGAGTTAATGGTTCACACGGGCAATGCGGTGCATCTGTCATACTCAGAAAGGGGGGAGCATGAAGTGGAAGAGAGAAGAAGATTTAGAGGTCGAATCGAGCATCTTCAGCATCTGGTCAGCGCTGCCTTGAGCTTGCGGCTCGGCCTCTGGCCTGACCTGAGGATGCGGATGAGAATGAATGAGAGCCAAAGAAATTACCAGAACAAACCGTCCCTCCTCTGCAACGTGCTACCAGCTATTGGTTCAATGTACATACACGTGTATTCATGCACCATGGGTCGCGCTGCATCGCGCCAACAACACGACCAGAATCTAGCCCTGGCGAAATAGTGCGACTCACTAGATCCGGCGAGCCTGCTGAGGCCATTCGCATCAGCTATTGCAAAAGAAGCTAAATGTTCCAGCCACATGGCAGAACCGTGTCCCAGACTTCCTGAGCCCTCCCGTCCTCCTAAAAAGAAGAAATCCAGACCCTTGGGTCTGGACCCTTGAGCAACAATGGGATATCACGCCGCCAGCGACACACAAAGTCGCTAGTCTGCCCATTCAGGATAGTCGCGCCTGAGAAAGCAAAGCCTAGGCGAGAAATATTGCCAAAGGCGTCCTAGCACCCGCACCTGATCGGGTTCAAAAGTCTGAATTGGTTCAGGTGCCGCTGGCGTTCTAGATTCAGGTGTGCTCTTCAACAACGATGGGACGAAGCCGCTTCAGGGCACGTCGTGAGGCCAATGCACTGGCCATGGCTTCCAATGTGGTGCCGTCTGGCGGCCATGAGGCTCATTGAGGGCGGTTCCAGGACGATGGCACGGCCACGACGAATTACAGCTGAATGACGGACAGAATTGGCGTCGGATTGGTCAAATGGATACCTGTCGCGGCCCGGGCCCAGATCCAGCCAGAGAAACCTGTATGAGAAAAAAAAACGTGACGCATCAGTGAGCCACGAGTCAACAATAGCCTCCTCGCCCTGCACAAGTGCGGCTGACATTGGAGCTTCGTCCGATACAATAAGCGTCACTGCGGCGCGCGATGGGGTTTCTGTACTCAAGGTCGGCACTCTCGTCGTTAGTCGGCCATGACAACCGGGCCGGAGGATTACAATTACTGCCGAATGAAACCTGACATTAGCGTGGGGTGTGTGCTGTGTCAGTGTTTCTTCTCCTCGTTCCCGAATGGGTTTCTCGCTACACATTCAACAGTGAGAACTTGTCTCCCCCCCCAAAACCCGGGTCTTTGGCGCTCGTGCTGGCTTGTTCGGATCTCGATGCCCTCGTATGGCGCTCGCTAGAATCGAAAGAAAGGGTACCCTGGCATCGTTCACCAGTCGCTATCCACTGTCTGGTGGGTTTTGGATGGCGCCCAAAAACGAGGTCTGCCAAGGTCTGAGTAGAAGGGTCAAAGTTTGGACGAAGGTGCTAGTTGACATGCTACACGAGCTGCTGGAATGTACAGTACAAGAGCCCGCTGACACGACTGGCGTTACTCGGAGGTTGGGGTCGGAGTTGATGGTGATCTGCCCGGTAGTAAGACCCACGATGGAGACTAGTATTTTTAGCGAAAGATCGTGTTCTCCAGTGGGGCGAGGGGTTTTCGAATATGCGCACAGTTGGTGATGAATTGCTGTTTGCCCTGAGCATGGTTCGATGCAACGTCGGTCCCGAGCCTGGCTTCCGTGTCGATTCACTTCGGCTGAACCTTGCGTAGCACTTCGCTGTTGAAGCCACGTTAAGGCTATTGAGTGGAAGTTGAGTTACTCCGATATCGAGTCTGTGTGAACCCTGGCTCATGCGACTACCTTGCATCGCGTTGCGTCTTTAGTACAGAGCTCAACTGCATCACAAAGAAGGCGGTGACGAATGCAGGTAGGCGATTGCGGCCGTAGATGCCCAACTGGTGGTCAGCGAACGTGGGCTTTACTTTCCTGAGGACGATGGACTTTTTCTCCACCCCTTGGCTGACTACCTGTCGAGGAAAGTGCATTGTGCTCGTCGGGCCAGCCAAGATGCAAGTAGCGGTTGTTGATGCAGGGCCGATAGTTGTGTCTTGCTGTGTGTGTCTGGAGGGAGTTAGATTGTTCGAGTCGGTCCCAATTAGGACGCCTGATCCCAATTCGATGCACCATGCCTTGTCACAATTTCTTTGTACCGCCGATGTGGTTTCTTTGTTGTAAGCTGAGAGACGGCTTTGCGATCCTCAGCCCTAGCAATGGCGTTACGCAAGACATGTGCTGGCTAGTCCACTGGTCTCTGTGGTAGAAGGGCGTCGAAAATCTGCCTACGGGCGTCGTGGTGGGTGGCTTGGCAGCCCGTTAGTGGGCTCGACCTGAACGTGCTGAAGTCTGGAAAGTCTCCTTGGTCTCGGTATCTGGGGAAAGCCGCTCACTTGTCCTATTTTCGTTTTTGCTGAATCGCTGTTCGACTCTCGACTGCGCTGTGGAGATGGGACAAGCTTGTCAGAAGGCGACGCATTGATCGGCACCAAAAAACCGCCTGACGGGACTCGCGGCAAGGAACACGAGTGCCAGACATCCGATAGTTCGTCTCTCAAGTAGGAGCGAGTGGATTGGTGTCGCACTGCCCTTGACGCCAGTGTTTATGTGTGCATCTCGGTATAGGCTCTGCCCAGAATCAAGGGACCTGCCAAGGCACATCGTTGACCGATCCCAATCTCCTTCGCCATCGCTGGCATACAAAGTCCTCGCAAGGTTCAGGGACAGATGCGACATCATGATCGCAGATGTGGCGTCGCTGGGGTTGAGCCCGAGAGGCAGGGATCGAGGGTGGAGAGGAGCTCTTGTTCCTGAAAGTCAATCAGGCAGTCTGCTGTAGGAACACACATGCTTGTCGGTTTGTACAGCACAGCGTTGCCTTATTTGCCCGTCCTAAGGATGGGGGACGTCCATGGCGATGTCATCAGTTCATGCGTCACGCTACCCATTTCCCTGATTGGCGAAGGGATGCCGACGGGTGGTCAGTGATTGATTGGAGATGATGACGAGGTGCCTGTGATGAACAGCGATCATCGGCCGAATTGTCAGGTCGCTGGTGGTGGTGGTGGTCATGGTGCATATCTTTCTGCAGTATCTGTCTCTGTCTCCGTCTCCGTGTCTGGCATACCTAGCTAGCTGGCTACGTACCTACCTTACCTGCCCTGCCCTGCCGTTGTGGTAGCTCTTGCAGCTCTGAATCAGTATCTTGAAGGGACGGGACTTTAGGTTGGCAAGAGTGATCTGATGATCCTGCCCCTGACGCCACGCCTGCCCCATCGTCACTCTGCACCGGGGCAAACCCTTGGCGCCAAAGAGGCCCTGTAAAGTTCGGTGCTTGTCCTCTGAAGGGGTTCCCCTGGCTGGGCCCTGGATCCACTCACCTGCCGGCTGCGCCATCACCGCCATGGCCAACCGAAAATATGGCTGTTTCAGAGCGCTACCGCAGGGTACCTTCGGTCATGCGCGGTGAACGCAGAGCATCGGGTACACCCGCGTACCCTGCTGACCGCCCACGCACTACCCCCATCGAGAATCACAACTCACAGTGGGCTTCAGCCTCTCATCCGCACGCCTTTGACGTGCTCGCGCTCACTTCTCCAGCTCGGGCCGTGGGCTCTCGGGCCAGGGGCCTTAGGCCTTGAGTCTTTGAGAGGGGAGGGCCCCAAGGGCCCTTAGACCGTGGGCCTTGCACATTGCAGCAGGTGCATGGGACCAGGAGCTAACCCGGGCCTTCGTGGATCTCCATCCCCTTTCTTCCTCTCTCAGCCAAGCAAGAGCTCGGGTCATTTTCCTCGTGTTTCCTCTTCCCCTAAAGCAGCTCTCAACTCCCCCCTCCCAATCCACGCCCCCCTCCGAACAAGGCCACGGATATATATATATATACCACCGAACCTCCCCCTCCCCCCCTTGGAGCAGTCGACCGCTCCGTAGCTCTACCACTTCCTCTTTCGAATTCAGCCTCCGAGAAAATCGGCAATAACCAGAGTCCATAGTTCTAAAGCTATTCGCCACTGACTGGAGTCTGACCACACGAGCCTTCCTGCTTGATCCGTCTTAGGCGAAATATGAGCAGTGTCTCTGTGCGTGCACCACGTTTGAGGATTGGAAGAGTCGACCCTGTCGTGCCACCACCGCAGGCCCAACCATAGACGCTCACGTTCAAAAGAAAGTTCTGTCATCATTGGCAAAGGCTCTTCTGCAAATCGGTGTGTGACGGGAACGAAACGAAACGAAACAAAACGGAACATTCACATCCATACATCCATATCTCCGTCCACCTATCAGCCAGCCTCTCAGCAGCCAGCGTCAAAATGGGCATCATGGCACGAGATCCCGCTGTTGTCTCAGACGACGACTACGAAGTCGAGGACATGTACTTCACCTACCGTCCGCTGTCGAACCTCCCCACACCACCGCTGTCCTCGCGAAACTCTTCAGCCGACCACAGCCCCAAGGTTTCTTTCGACGAGCTTGACGCCGAGCTGCTCCAGGACAAGTACTTCGGTATGCGCAGCTGCTTCCCAACATGCTCGATTCGGTTGTGTACTAACAACAGCGTCTTTGTAGGCCCTGCCGTCCATCTTATCAACCTCGTCCCCACCTCCGCATCTCTCCGCACGCCCTCCACCAGTGCTGTCCAATCGCTCCTTGCACGCACCGCCCTGCCTCTCGAGTCGATCGCCCTCGCATCCTGCATCCTCGACTCTCTCAACTCCAAGTTTGCCCTCTCCTGGCGCCTCTCCTGCCCGCTCATTGCCGATCCCAGCCTGTCGCCCAGCAAGCGCCACTCTCTCGCGGGGCCTTTCTTCCAGCAGCGCCAGATGCACATCGACTCTGTCCAGCCTGAGCTCATCGTTCTTGCTGCACTGGTCATTGCCGCCAAGTTTACCGAGGACCAGCAAGACTCCACTGCATACTACTGTGCCTCGTGGGGCCGCAACATTTGGTCCTGCGAGCAGCTCAATGTCACGGAGCGTTGCATCTGCGAGAACCTCAACTGGCGCATTAAGCCACTTGTTGACGACGAGGACCTGATTACCGAGACGCTGGTCGATATGCAGCTCGCCGCGCGCACTACCGGCCTGCCCAACGACCTGTGCAGAAGAACGCGGGTGACGGAAGCGGCCACAGCAAAAGCAAGAGTATGAGCGTTGGCACTGCGGTCATTGGCCTTGGCCTGCAGCTGACTCCTGTCGACACCCCAGTGTACGACGAGGACGGCGGTGGTTCGCCGGCGAATGACTACCTTTCCCTGCCACGATCGGCCACTCTGGGCTCCCTGTCTCCCGTAGGCGAGGAGAGCTAGATCGCGGCGTTACATTGTGTCGATGAGCTCGAAGTTTAAATTTTTATTGTTGCATTTTTACGAGTCAACTGGCGGCACTAGCGATATGGGGCGAATTCGATACCACGCATGGGATGCGTTTGGTAAAGGCGTTTCGCGTGCATCAAACTGATATCAGGTCATATATGGGGGTTACATGTTACACATTTGCTCACCATATTTCCTTCGGTTTGGGATTATGGACTCGGAGGCGTGGATCGAGGTTCGGCGTTCTGCGGCATGCACATATGGGGATCGTAACACGGGACGGAGAAACCAGCGATTTCCCTCTATACTGTCTCATAGCCTTGCTATTTCTAATGTTTATACGTCAGACCTGACGACATACTACTTATTACTATCTCACCTTCGGGATTTCCGTCTTGTTGACTCGTGAGCCTCATGAAGACCGCCTCGTTAGTCCTTCCGACCTGGCAAAATTCACAAGCAAAGTTCAGCAGCGGCCCAGCAGCAGCCGTCCACTAGTCCTCTTTTTCATTGTTTCTCCGTTCTACGGGCTCAGCCGGTTGAGTGTCCACGCCTCGCCGTCCTTTTCGTACACGAACCGATCATGCAACCGGCTGTCCCTGCCCTGCCAAAACTCAACCCGATCCGGCACGATCTTCAGCCCGCCCCAGAATTCAGGCACGGGAATCTTCTCCTCGCCGTCGAACCGCGCCTCCGCCTCCTTGACCCACCCCTCGAGCTGCGCCCGACCGTCGTCCCCGTCGCCCTGCGCCTCGAGCACCTGGCTCTGGCGACTCGCCCAGGCGCCGAGGCGGCTACCGCGCACGCGCGTGTCGTAGTACGTCTGGCTCTGCTCGCGCGGCACGCGGGCGGCGACGCCCTCGACGCGGACCTGGCGCTGCAGGGCCTCCCACCAGAAGACGAGGCTGGCGCGCGGGTTGGACGCCAGGTCGGCGGCCTTGCGCGACGTGGCGAAGTTGGAGTAAACGACGTAGGCGCCCGCGGCGTCGGAGCTCCTTGAGGTAGAGCGTGCGCGCCGACACGCGGCCCGAGGGCAGGTGCGCCGTCGCCAGCGTGCACGTCTCTGGGTGCGCGACGGCGGGGGCCGCCTGCGCCGCCTGGAACCAGGCGTGGAACTGCGCCGTCGGCGACGTCGGGTCGAGGTCGGCGCGGTGCAGGGCTGGTGACGTGAACTGCGCCGCCTGCCCGTGGGCTTCGGAGCCTGCTGGAGCGACTGTGCTGGTATGTCAGGAATTTGCCGACGCGCTGCATGCGATGCGGCATCTAGGTTCGGGGAGGGAAAGGCAAGGTGGGGTGAGAGACTCACAGATGAGCTTCGAGGGGTCGTTCGGCGGGTGGAGGGCCATGGTGAGGGATTTGGAGAATAGGAGTCTTTGCGTCAAACGCATGGAAAAACTTGTTGGAGATGCCTACGTGTGGCGTTGGGAAAAAGGTGCGAGTTTGACGAGGGTGAAGATGTCAAATTGCCGGATGCAAGCAGTGAAGTGAGCTGTTGCTGGTGGTCAGGGTAGTGACGATGGTGGGGTGACTGATGACGGCTTGTCATGGAGGGGCAGGGGGGGTCTACTTTGTTCCCATCACAAGTCACCAAACCTCCCAGGGTGCGGGCCACTTGGACCCCGAAAGTCCTGGACCCCCCAGACATGACACACATACAACACACGATACCACATGATACGCAACATACGCAAACGGACAGAACACACAAACGTATAATCAATGGGTATCTAAAACGCCTCCCAACACATGACGGTCTCATAGACACGAGTGTGACGACTCTAACAAGAAAAGCATACAACGCCTCTCTACCTGAATGTACGTACGAACATACATCAAATCCGGCCAGTACGCAGTTACGCCCACCCAACATGCAGTTACGAGACGCCGTGAGGCACCTGCGGGGTTACTGCTATATACTATGCTAAAACAGAGAGAACCAGATTCCCTAATGCCTTGGTGATCCGGATTCGCACATCAAAAACTTTTTTCACATCATAACCGAAATGTCCGAACGCGATCCTGAATGTAACCCAAAAAGTCGTCTAAGGCGCCATAACGAGTGCAAGCAGAGCCATGCGGCAGTACAGGCCGTAACGCATCTGGTGACTTGGTTAGCATGTCTTTTCTTCCCCTGAGTCCCTCGGGTGTCACTTACTTGGCGGAAGTACGCCGCCCGCGGGTCCGTGTCCACCTCCTGCGCAATCTCCTCATTCCTGGGGAGGGGGTGCAGGATGCACATGTCCTTCTTCGCCGACCGCAGCGTCTTGTTGTCGATGCGGTACGAGTTCTTGACTCGCTCGTACTCCTCCACCGAGGGAAACCTCTCCTTCTGCACGCGCGTGCAGTAGAGGACGTCGCTCTTGGAGAGAATCTCCTCCGTGAGCTCCTCCGACTCACAGGCCAGCTGGCCAGACTGTTCGAGGAAGTTGCGGACCTCCTCGGGAAGCCTGAGCCCCTTGGGCGACACGAGCTGCACCCGCACGCCGTAGTCACGAAGGAGATAGACAAGTGAGTGCACGGGGCGGCCGTACAGCAGATCACCGATAAAGGTGATGGTAATGTTCTGCACGGTTCCGAGCTCCTCACGAATCGTGAACAGGTCCAGGAACGCCTGCGTCGGGTGCTCCTTGCTGCCGTTGCCGCCGTTGATGACGGGAACAGAGGCGTACTTGCGAGCAACGTCGACGCTGGACTCTTCGGGGTGTCGAAGCACGACTGCATCGCCGTAGCAACCGAGAGTACGGAGAGTATCCTGCAGCGTCTCGCCCTTCTGCACCGATGAGTGAGATGTCGAGATCACCACAGTGCGGCCACCAAGCCTCTGCATCGCAGCGTCAAAGGAAGCGGACGTGCGGGTAGAGGGCTCGTAGAAGAGAGTGCAGAGGAGGCGTCCGCGCAGGAGGTTGAGAACACCTTCACGCTGAACACCACGACGCATCTCCTGCGCGACGGTGAACAAGTGGTGCAGGTCGCTGCGCGTGTACTGCGTGACCGAAAGGACATTCTGGTGGCGCCAGGAAGAGGGCTGGGCAATGAGGTCCTGGAGCTGGGAGCCGAGAGCAGGCTGCAGCACCATGGGGGAACCGAGCTCTTCAAGACTCTTCAGCTGGCTGGCCGTATCGGTAGATCGCAGCTTGGCGGGGCCCACAGCAAACATGGAAGAACGCCTGTCGTGGGGAGACTCGATGACCTTGTTGAGAGACTGTACGGTGGGCTTCAGAGGGGGGGACATGGGCATAGCGCCGTGAGTCGACATGTCCTGGCCCAGAGGCTCGCTAGGCAGCAGGTTGCCGTCAAGGCAGGCTGTCTTTCCGTAGAAGGTGACGCGCTGCACAGAGCCGCGCATGGTGCGCCCCGCGAAAGGAGACCAGGCACCAGATGAGGGCACCTTGTAGGAGCGGTCAATCTCAACCTCAACGCCAGAGCCAACCTGCTCGTGCAGCTCAAAGATCTGCTTCGGGTTGTCGTAGAGGCGAGTCTTGATGTCGTCGATGGTCAGGCGACCCTCGGTCACTGACGTCAGCAGCAGGGGCAGGACGTCGGCGATACCGACGGCGGCATCGACAGAGTGACCAAGAGAAGTGGCCAGTTGGTAAGGAAGACTGCCGATGGAGAAGACATCAATGGTATCGAGATGAGCCCACAGAGCATCCTGATCCTGAGCCGTGGGCAACAGAGCACAGCCGGGGAAGTCCTTCTGCGAGAGATAGAGGGAGAAGACGGACACGTCGCAGGTCAGCTTGAGACCCTTCTTCTTGCTGAGTGCAATGAGCCTGATATCATCCTTGGTCGACACAGAGGTGACGTGGATGCGACGGTTGTGCAGGCTCGCAAGCAGAAGAATCGAGGCGAGGTCTGTCAGCTTGGCATCGGTGACGATGGGCTTGTGCTCGGGCCAGCTGTCAAAGTGAGACTCAACGGCAGCGACCTTGCTGATGTTGCCAGACAGATGGTTGAATGGGATGAAAAGCGATCCAACCTCTCCAGCGACCTGGCTAATCTGATCAGCGTTGTCCGAAGTAGCTGACACTGACAGGTTGTAGTCGCAGTAACCACCACGACGGCTGGTCTTCTGCGCAACCTTGAGGGTGAGAGCGTCCGTCACGGCACCCTCGACACCGACAGGCATGATGCGAACCATGCTGAAGCCGGCCAGGAGCGAGGCTTTCGTGACCGACTGAAGATCGTTGGTGCCGGAGGAGGCAATGCCAGGCACAAAAGCCGCGACGTTGATCAGACCAGGCAGAGAGACGGTGCGGTGGCTGGTCTGGAAGTCACGATTGCCGACGTTGAGCTCGAAGTGACGAGCAATGGCCTCGACGAGGATCTTGGCGTTCTTGACATTGGTGACCAGAGGAATCTGGTAGTCAACGGCCATACGTCTGGTCTGGTACCCCTTGCTCATGTAGTTGGCGGGGCGGCGATACTTGTTGCTGGAAGGCAAGTTAATGTACAGGTCGATGGTGTTCTTGGCAAGATGCTGGGTCAGAGAGAACTCGGACCGCTGATCTCCCTCCTCGTCACCGAGAGCCTCGAGGTACTGCACTGGAATGTTGTGCTCCTGGAGGAAATCGGCAGTTCCGGCCGTGGCAAACAGCTTGTAGCCAAGCTTCTGAAGCTTTTCCACAGAAGGCAACATCTCCTTCTTGTCCTTGTAGGAGCCCATGGACAGCAGAATGTTGGCCTTGGGGATTTTGAAGCCGGTGGACATGAGGGCCTTGAGGTAAGCCTCATACTTGTCAACACCGAAGCAGGCGACTTCACCAGTAGAAGCCATCTCGACACCCAGAACAGGATCGGCACCAGAGAGGCGAGAGAAGCTGAACTGGGGCACCTTCACACCGACGCAGTTCTGGGCGAGAGTGGTGGGAGGGTACTCGGTGAAGGGCTGACCAGTGATGGCCTTGGTCGCCATCTCGATGAGGTCAACACCCATAACCTTAGAGACGAAGGGGAACGAACGCGAGGCACGAACGTTGCACTCAATGACCTTGATGTCATTGTCCTTGGCAATGAACTGAATGTTGAAGGGGCCCGTCACGTTGAGAGCGGCGCCAATCTTGCGGGTAGCCTCCTCAATTCGCTCAATTGTCTCGCGCTCCAGGTCCTGAGGAGGCAAGATGAGGGTAGCGTCACCCGAGTGCACACCGGCATTCTCAACGTGCTCGGAGATGAAATGACCAACAACGACGCCGTCCTTGGCAACTGCATCCATCTCGATCTCCTTGGCGTTCTCAATGTACTTGGTGATGACGACAGGGTACTCGCGAGAAACAGCGACAGCCTGCTCGAGGTAGTTCTCCAAGTCACGCTCAGAGTAGACCGTGTTCATGGCAGCTCCAGAGAGCACGTACGAAGGACGTACAAGCACGGGGTACGATATGCTGTTACAGAACTTCTTGGCATCCTCGAGACTGCTGTTCTCCTTCCACGCGGGCTGATCCACGCCGATCGAATCCAGCATACGAGAGAACTTGTAACGGTTCTCGGCCATGTCGATCATTTCAGGTGAGGTACCGAGAACCTTAATGCCAGCACGGTAGAGCGGCAGTGCGATGTTGTTGGGCGTCTGCCCACCCATGGCTCCGAGAACACCACCTGCATTCTCCAGAGCGTAGATGTCACACACCGTCTCGAGGTTGATGTTCTCAAAGTAGAGCTTGTCGGCCTCGTCATAATCAGTCGAAACCGTCTCCGGGTTGTAATTGACCATGATAGTCTTGTGGCCAGTCTGGCGGAGAGTGCGAATGGCACGAACGGAGCACCAATCGAACTCGACTGATGAGCCGATACGGTACACACCAGAACCAAGGACCATGATGCCGTGGTCGTCAAAAGAGACATCGCTCTCGGAGGCGTTGTATGTGAGGTAAAGGTAGTTGGTGTGGGCAGGGAACTCGGCCGCTACCGTATCGATCTGCTTGACGAAGGGCATGATGCCACCTTCCTCACGCATCCTGCGGACGCCAATCTCGTTGGTGCTCCAGAAGTCAGCAAGCTGCTGATCAGAGAAGCCGAGCCTCTTGGCCTGAAGGAGCAGGTCGGGGCGCTGAGTGATCTGGGCCATGTTGAAGCCGCCCATTTCCTTGGCAAAGTTGTTGAGCCCCATGAGCTTGTTGAGGAACCACTTATCAATCTTGGTCAACTCCCAGATCTTCTCGACGGAGTAGCCAGCGTGCATGGCATTGGCAATGGCAAACAGACGCTGATCGGACGGGGTCTGGAGCTCGTCATCGAGGGACATCAGAGCCTTGGTGGCGCCGAAGCCCAAGTTGTGGAAGTCGATGGCACGAATAGCCTTTTGAATGGCCTCCTCGAAGGTCCTGCCAATGCTCATGACTTCACCAACACTCTTCATAGAGGAGCCGAGCTGAGTAGAGACACGGGTGAACTTCTTCAGATCCCAACGAGGCATCTTGACGACAACATAATCGAGCGAAGGCTCAAAGCAGGCACAAGTGGACTTTGTGACGCTGTTGGCAATGTCCTTGAGGGGAATACCGAGACCAAGCTTAGCAGCAATGAAGGCAAGCGGGTAACCAGTTGCCTTGGACGCAAGGGCAGAAGACCTGGACAACCTTGCGTTGACCTCGATGATGCAGTATTCCCTTGAAAAGGGGTTCAGCGCATACTGAATGTTGCACTCTCCGACAACACCGAGGTGACGGATAACGTTGACGGCCGTTGTTCGCAGCATGTTGTAGTCTTCGTCAGACAGAGTCTGCGAAGGAGCGACAACGATGGAATCACCAGTGTGGATTCCAAGAGGATCGAAGTTCTCCATGTTACAGACAGTGATGCAGTTGTCTTGGGCGTCACGAACGACTTCGTACTCAATCTCCTTCCAGCCCTTCATACTGCGCTCAATGAGGACTTGAGGACTGGCAGCAAAGGCCTTGTTGCAAAGGTCGAGCAGCTCAGCCTCGTTGTTGGCGAAACCACTTCCAAGGCCGCCGAGAGCGTACGCGGCACGGACGATGACGGGGAAGCCAATGCCCTTGACAGCAACCATGGCCTCGTCAACGGTGCAGGCAGAAGCGGACTTGGCACACTTCTCACCAATGGAGTCCATGCTGCGCGCGAAGAGTTCACGGTCCTCGGTAGTGATGATGGTATCAATGGGAGTACCGAGAACCTTGACACCGAGGGCCTCGAACTCATCCTTCAGCTGAATACCAACCGACAGAGCAGTCTGGCCACCGAAGGTGACGTAGATGGCATCGGGATGCTCATACTGGATAACCTTTCGCACAAACTCGGCGTTGACAGGTAGGAAATAGACCTTATCAGCGAGACCCTTGGAGGTCTGAATGGTCGCGATGTTCGGGTTGATAAGCACCGTGTAGATGCCTTCCTCCTTAAGAGCCTTGATGGCTTGACTACCAGAATAGTCGAATTCGCCGGCCTGGCCAATGCTGAGGCCACCGCTTCCGAGGACAAGGACCTTGCGAGGGTGGACGCGAGGGTGCAGGCGCTCGTTCTCCTCAATAGTGCCGCCAGGGAAGCTGACAGGGGAGTTGAGAAGGCTGGCATCAGTGGCGCAGTCGGTGATGGCCTGGATGAAGACATCGAAGAGATACTCTGTGTCGCAGGGACCGGGAGTGCTCTCCGGGTGGAACTGAACACTGAAGTAGGGCTTGCTTTTGTGCATGATGCCCTCGTTGCTTCCGTCGTTCGCGTTGCAAAAAAGCTCCTGCCAACCCCTCCGTCAAAGAGCCAGCATCGACGGCGTAGCCGGGGTTCTCCGAAGGGATGTGGCACTTTCCAGTGATCATGCTGGGTGCAGGGAAAGTTGGGACCACGGTTGCCGAACTTCATCTTGGTGGTGCTCGCACCGGAGGCACGAGCCAGAAGCTGATGTCCCAAACAAATACCAAAGACGGGCGTCTTGTTCTGTTGCAAAGCAGCCGCGATGTTCTTGATGGTGACATCAAGCATGGCAGGGTCACCAGGTCCGTTGGAGATGAAGAGACCATCGTATTGGTCAGCAGCAGCGACGATGTCGTGGTCCCAGGGGCAGACAAGGACCTCGACGCCACGCTTGAGGAAGCATCGCAGCTGGTTGTACTTCATACCAACATCGACGCAAAGAACTCGGATGGTGCGGCCCGAGGAGTGCTTCTTCAGCGTGACGCTGGCAGGGGGCTTGTAAAGCTTGGGGGTCTTGATGGATACTGGAGAGAAATGAGCGAAAGCTTAATCAGAGTGAACTGCATAGACTCACCCTCGGCCACGAGGTTCTTTTCATTGGGGTTAGACCACTCAATCGTCTCGTACTTGGGAGACGAGGCATGAGACGTGAGACCGTTCGCTGTGCCGTTGGTGAGGGTCTGCTTGGTCTCAAGCAGCAGGCGGCCGAGCGTGCTGCCCTCGGAACGGAGGCGCTTCGTGAGGGCCCTGGTATCGATGCCGTAGATAGCGGGGACGCCCTGCTCCTTGAGCCAGGTACCGAGGGAGGACTCGGCGAGGAAGTGCGAGTAATCCTCGCCAGAGTAGGATGCGGCGACGAGGCCGGCGATGTGAATCTGAGACGACTCGAAATGGGCGGGAAGGTCGCCGAGGAGCTCGTCCATGGTCTCCCTCGAAGGAACACCGTAGTTGCCGACGAGTGGAAAGGTGATAACGAGGATCTGACCGCGATACGAAGGGTCTGTCACCGACTCTGGGTATCCCACCATGCCGGTCTGGAAGACGAGCTCTCCAGCGATGCTCTTCTGGGCACCAAAGCTGTAACCTTGGTAGACAGAGCCATCGGGCAGCTCGAGGCACATGAGAGGCTCGGTATCAACGCCATTGGCATCGACGAGGCGTGCCGTGGCGGGGGGGAAGGTCTTGCCCGCCATGATTGCCGACTCTAATCGGTATTTCGACGTGGGGCAGTTCTGGAAGGTATGACGGAGGCGGGGCAGAGCTCGCTCGCCGCAAGAGCGGGTGGGAGTAATAGAAGAAGTATGAGAGCTCTAAGGGTCAGAGTCTCGGGTTTGAGGTATTCCTGGTCTTCCCAGGGATCATCTGCAGCCAGAGATCAGAGGGAAGGCAATAGCAGATCAGAGGATCATGGTGAGGAGGAGGAGGAGAGGAGAAGGAGGAGAGAGAACCGAGAACGGCCACTGCCAAAAACTTTTTTTCTTCTATTCCAGTTCTGCCAGCCTTCGCCTCGCCTGGGCCTAAGCCCCTCTCTTAGCGGGCAGACCTGTGTGCTTGGGGCCTCGTGATTGGCCAATTCCGCTTGCCTGACGCATGCGGTCCACTAAGCTCGGCCCAATTGCGCTGCGCGTTTCACTGTGCTACAGTGGACGGCGAGCCGGGTCACCAATGAGAGGGGCTCTCTTGTCCCTGAAGAGCAAGGCGGTAAGGTAGCCTCGAGTCTGCTCAGGGCCTGCTTGTAAGGTAGGTACCTGAAAGTTACCTAGATGAGGTCCCTTTCTTTGGTTGAGGAAACATTCGAGCGAGCTCGGCCTCGTTTGCCGTGGGGGTTCACCACGTCACCTCCCTAGCAGGGATTGAATCTTTAATTGACAACCGCCAGCTGGTTGAGTCCAGCGCTCTCTGAATCGGGTGACAGGCTTTAAAAGTATCGGCTTGCAACACGACAGACCATTTTACAGTTTTGTTCTGGGAACTCGTTTGAATTTTACCAAGACACCTCAAGATTGGTCCGTTGTGGTACACTTCGACCTCACCTTGACGCCGTGCGCCGATCTGTTTCTCGATCGCAGCCAGGTCAACCAGCTGCCACAGCAGTGCTCGCCTCAAGCATTTTCAGCGACATTGTAATGTAATGCAAAATCAAAGAGAAAAAAAAAACAGAAAAATCTTCACTCTCCGTATGACATGGCGTCTCCAACACGGGCAGAAATATCGCAGATCGACATCAACGCGACAATTCAAAGTCTTTTTGGCGTGCCTCAAAGCCGCGAGTCGCGGTTCCACAGTTTTCCGTTGCTATCCACACCCACACGCACCCCTCCCAGTGTACAGTACATTGCTTCGATCGAAAGCTTGAGGCTCACGTGCTTCGAGGTGATGCGGCCCCGATCGCCCATCATGAGAAGTCTGGACTGTGGTGCCTAAGTTGAGCGTGAGTGTTTGACTTGTGTGGCTTATTGTCTCAGCAGCCCATGCAAGCCCGTCTCGTGTTTCCCCCGATGGCTCTGATTCCCCATGTCTTGGACGCTCCGGAGAATGCAGTGACATGCCAGAGGGCCATAGTTCATCCAGTCTCCCCCGAAATAGGCACACGTCAACATCATGATCTAGGCCATCGAGTTCATTTGCCGTACTGAGAAAAACTTGAAGAAGGTTGTTGCCGTAATGCAATTTCAATCAGATGATCGTGGCACACTCCCGTTTCGTCGCACAGCAGCCTGACCCCCATCGAGGAGCACACCCTTCGGAGAGAAGTGTGCGGGATGGTGGTGAGGGGACGTCGAGGCGGTGACGGTGGTGTCCAATCAGACGAGAGCCCAGTTGGTCTGGAGTCCCGAAGGTTGTGTGATCTGGGGTCCCATCGAGCATGGCGCGCCCGCGTCATTCGCCGAAGAGAACAGCCCGCGTTGCCATTGCCAGTAGATGCTTGATATGCTGGGTACTCAGTGCCAAGGTGGTGTCATGATATCAGCAGACATCAAGGAGTCAATGTTGTGGCCGGCGGACGGCACAAACCCTCAGCACGCCTTCGTCTCATCGTCCGTCAAAGGCCAAAGACAAGCCAGTGTCGGTCAAGTGGCACTCGTAGCCGCATCATGTCACATCGCCTGGTGCAAGGGAGTGCTGCGGCCAGCTGTGCATTTCTGGCCTGCATCGATGGTCATCGCGATCTTTGATTGGGGTCATTTCAGGACTGGCTGACGGCCACTTTTTAGAGTCGACAGGGACAAGGCCCCACGCACTAGCGATTCAAGCCGCTGCTGAGGCCCGTTCTTTTTGGCCAGGTTCAGGGCAAGTCGAGGGTAGCCACAGCCAAGCATTTCAAGGCACTGCAACTGCACCTGCAGCTAGGTACAGGCAGGAGGAGCACAAGCCCATGTGCTTCAGACCGTGGACCTCGAACCTCCCTGGCCTTATCGCTTCGCCCTCTACTGTCATCGACCATGTGCATGAACAACGCCTCAGTCTTCCTTTCCCCAGACAGGTGAGCAAAGTGCCCACTTCACCGCCTCTTTCGGGGCAAGTACTGCGGCCCCCTCCCATGATACACCATGTCCCTGCTACTGAGTCCGGCTGAGGCTGTAGCTGCACAGAATCGCGCTTCACGCGCATCATCCCCCTCAGACCACCCACACCAACATGCAACCGAACAAACTGCTTGCCTGCCCTCCTGCTGCCAGGTTTCTCTGTCTGTGACCTATCTCACCTTAGTCAAGTCCTGAGCTAAGGTATGCAAGTACAGTACACATACATGTACAGGTAGGTACAGCAGTTCTGGTATGTTTGGGTCTGTCTTGGTGCTTGCTCTGCCGTCTGGTCTGTGTCCACTCCTCGCGATCGGTTGCTCCTGCAATCTACGATTCCCACCACACGGTCCGCCTCTCCACTGTTCCTAGGCCCCCCCCCCCCCCCCAAAAGTGTTTCTGTATCCACGCCTCCAACAGAGACTTGCATCGAGTTCAAATCCTTCCACTCTTTCCTTCTCGCCTGTTCGCTCGTTTTGTTTGTCGGGACGGAGGATCGCGTCGTCTCTCTGGGCTTGCCTCACGCCACTGCGTTCATCCTGACTTCCTTCCACAGCTTCACCCCTTATCGTCCATGGAGCTGTGATCCGACCCGATAAGACGAGGTTGCGGGCTGTTTCGCAACCCCCAAGAAACAAAACAATGTTCACCTCGTTGCTGCGACCTAGACGTCACAGTCGTCACGTCGATGATGATGGGCTACCGACGTCCCCTTCTGCGGGCCCAGCCTTTCGCAAGCCACCCCTTCGCAGACATGCCACGGCAGACTTCACGGAAGCCGATGATGACGACGAGGATTCAAACGACGGCATGGGCGATCAATACGTTGATGGAGACGAAGAGCAAGACGATGAGGACAATAGACTAGACGACGAGGATGGCGTGCGTCGCTCCCTGCCTGTGCTACCTCTCTTCTCCGCCTCCTATCTCGGTACGTTGCAGCTTTGGCTTTAGCCCCTCCTGCTTCTCCTCAGTCCTAGCATCACTAACGCCAGCTGCGCCACGCAGACTCCCTACCGATTTACAACATCACCCATGCGATCCGTGTCGTCGTCCAAGCCAGAACCGAAACGAGTTTAACATGGGAACAACTTCGCTCGCCCCAGGTCTCCCAATTCCTGGTGAAGCCCATGCAACAGCAGATCCGTACACAGCACTTCTCCAGAGCAACACTATATGCGCTGATGGCGAACTGTCTCCAATTTCACAAGGAGAGCCAACTGTATCCAGGCAACGCCGGCACGAGCATCACACGCGCCAAGGTTTGCGAGCTGCTAGCGGTCAAGCTGCTCAAGGAGTACAACACGCGCGAACTGATTGACGCGCTCTCCTACGATTTCTACCCACTCCAGGGGCTGCCTGGCATCCAGCTCCCTGTGACCAATTCCAAGGCAGATGCCACGGCCAAGGCTGGACTCACGGCCGCAAGGACATCGACACTCGAGGTTGCGATTCGTGCCTCAGCAAAGCACTTTCTGGCACATCCTCTCGTTGTGCAGCAGTTGGAGGCCATCTGGAACGGTGCCATCACGTTCTACTCGTCGGCGGATACACTGCACCGGGGACCACCTTCAACACCAGTTTACCCTCCCAGCAAGAGTTCAAGCAAAGCCGACGACCGGACGCCGCTCTTAGGCGGACAGCAGCGAAAGGAAATTGCAGCACAAGCTGTTCCCGGCAGACGGAGCGTCATTCTCTACGATCCGCGCAATGCTTCGTTATTCAAGCTATCACGCCTGCGTGTGCCTCGATACAGATTCTTCTTGTCGACTCTGTCGCTCATGGTCTTGATCTGCCTGTTCCTGAGTGTGCTGGTGGAGCGGTCTACACGAATCACCTCTCTTGAGCTCATATTCTGGTTCTGGTCCGCCGGCTTCATGCTCGATGAACTCGTCGGTTTCAACGAGCAGGGCTTTTCCCTCTATATCATGAGCTTCTGGAACATCTTTGATCTCGGCATCCTCGTCCTTCTCATTATTTACTACTGCATGCGTGCCTACGGTGTCTTTCTCGTGGACCCAGGCCATTGGAACGACCAAGCCTACGATGTGCTCGCCGCCAACGCCATCCTCCTTCTACCCCGTATCTTCAGCGTGTTGGACCACTACCAATACTTCTCCCAGCTGCTCATTGCATTCCGGTTGATGGCCGTGGATCTGGCTGCCGTGCTAGTCCTCGTCCTCATTTCCTGCAGCGGCTTCTTCGTATTCTTTACTCTATCCAAGAATTCCAATGACGCTGGAGAAGTCGCGTACAAGATCTTCCAGATCTTGATGGGCTTTACACCCGCGGCTTGGGATAAGTGGCCGACATATGGAATTCTCGAGAGGACACTGATGGGGTTGTTCCTGATCATGTGTCACTTCGTTGTTGTGTGAGTTAACAGCAGTTCTGTCATATAGAACTAGGTCACTAACCTTACCAGCACAATCCTCATCACTGTTTTGACGAACTCATTCATGAAAATTGCGAGTAATGCTACAGAGGAGCACCAGTGAGGAGCAGCCCTACCGACCCATTGTTACGCAAGCTAACGAATGCCAGGTTCTTGTTTGCACTCAACACCATCTCTATGGTCAAGAATGATGCCCTATTCTCATACGTTGCCCCCGGCAACATCTGTGCCTGGTTGCTGATGCCACTTCGTTACTGCATGCCCCTAAAGCACTTTGTTCTGTTGAACCGGACTATCATCAAAGTAACACACTTTCCTCTGCTGTTCTGCATCTTTGCATATGAGAAGTTCTGGTTGGCATCCAACATATATGAACCTACCGATCTCGTCGAAAACCCCGGCCGCGGACGTGGGAGACACATGTCTCTCGCCGATCCAGCCAACCGCGGCGCAATGTTCAGCCCCAATGTTCGGGTTCGGGAAGAATCGGTAGTAGGCTTCCAAAAAGACAGGGCTTTGGAGGAAGTGTTCCGGCGAGGACCTGGCATTGCCACCCTCCGAAGCCACAGAAGAAACGAAAGGAGAAAGACACAAAACGCTATTCGAAATTGGATGGAACAGCATGACGAGGTCGGATCGTCCCCCGGCAACCGCGAATGGCCGACTTTGGATAGCAAAGCTGCACGGCCGGACTGGCACCGCAGGTTCAGCATGAATCGAGACTACCGGCCTAATAGGCTCAGGCAGTTCTCTGACCTGCGTTCTGCTGCTAGCGATCCAGCAGACATGATGTCCCAGGGGCACCCGGCTATTGACGCTTCCCTTTCTCGCAATGAGAAAAACTTCAGACGTGGGGAAGAAGTGAAGGACCAAACAGACGCCGACGGTGATGACGAATTGGTCACGAATGATGAGGAAGAGGAAGATGAGATGACCAACGCTGGCGACCACCAGCGTACCCGCTACGAGAAGCATACCGAACAAGAAGACTACTTCACAACAGCACAGGCAACACACTATCATGCCCCGAAAGACTTCTTCGCAAGGGTCTAATGGCAAGACGCCTATGGCGGGGTCGCCTTCGAACTGCCAACAGGCGCGCACTTCATAACCGGACTCTTTCAACGAATACGATATTGTACGCGCCACAGCCGGCACGACGAGAACCAAGCGTTTCGTCTGCGTCACCGCCGGAGCCGACAACCGTTCGCTCCCGTCCTCTGAGCGCCCGTGCCTCCATCATTGAAGTGCCGTCAGGTAGTGGTCATCGCTCGCCTCGTAGGCAACTGTACATGACTTCAGTCAAGCCCAGACCGATCATGCCGCCGCGGGACTTGGTGCAGACAGCTCCCAACCGAGCTGGACTCATTCCTGTGGAGTCGCGTCAAAGGCTCGGCGGCGTCCGCAGACTTTCTTCGATTGATCTCAGCGCCATGTCCGATAACACGAATTTGATGGCTCCTGATGATCCGAATGGGGCCGTCCCGTCGAGTTTCCAAACCCAAATGGCGATGGCGTTGATGAAAGACTCACGTCTTGCCGGGGGGGCGCAGCAGCGACGCTGCGGATAGGGACCGTATGAGCCGCCTTGTTCTCGCACGCATGAAGACGCTCGAAGAGAGTTTCGCAGACGTGGCACGAGAACTACGTGGACTCAAGACGAATTCCAATTCGACAGCGCCGCCGACTAGGCACAACTCTTCGGGAGAAGACAATTCGAAAGCCTCCCGATCATCTATAGCCGATGCAGCTGGTCGGGACCGCCGGAAAGGGCCAGATGAGGCTCGACCCAAGATACTCAAAAGGACAACGACTGCCACCAAGAGGCCCGGAAGCCGGAAGAGCATGATGGAGCCCCGCGTTGGGATGACCAAGTCCAAAAATAAGGGCAAGGAAGTGGCTCAATCGTCTGATTCGGATGATGGGAGGGCCGGCGACAGAGGTGAAGATGGCTTCGCGAAGAAGGGCAGCTCACTCTGAGCATAAGGCAACAATTCGAGGAGGTTCGGACAAGATCCGAGCGCCAAGACGTCGGAGATGTGGTCACAGGCCGCCCTGGTGGCGGATTTGCATTGCTTCAGCGAGCATGTAGCGAACGAGCATAATGGTGTCATAGACGGCACAGAGGTGGAAGGGGAGATGATGTATTGTACTTGTTTGATATCACGTGGGTTGTGTTTGCATTTGAAGCCAGACTCTTCAGCTCGCGGGTAGGCTGTTGCTACCTGATGTGTTGGTGTGGGGGTTGGAATTAATCGATACCCAAACTTCGACGCCTCTCCATTGCAGTCTTGACCTGTTCTGTTGATTTGTGGATGTGTTCGCTTATTTGCTTTCATTGTTTTTTTTAGGCCGCGTTTTCAGTGTTTATTTGATGATACATATTCGGCGTGAAATCGTTACTACGAGAAAAGTGACTTATAGCTTGTCGGACGTGGGGAGGCCGAGATGAATAGGAAGGGAGGGGGTGCTATCAGACACCGCCTCCGCTGCGGTCAACGCGTACGTATAGATCGGGCGCGGCCTGTTCCTTGGATCTCATGGACGAGGACTGGTACTTGACTGTTGCCAAGGCGGCGACGACAAGAGTCGTGGCGATGACGACCGGGCGGTTGCGGCTGAGATGGCATGTTAGCGAGGGCCTAGGCCGGGAATGGGGGGGAAGAGGGTGACGAGGGAATGACCCTGACGGGTCTGGTAAGGAAGGGGGAGATATGATGGGACGTACGAGAAGGCACCGGCATGAAGCCTGACTGGCTGTCTTGGTTGGCGCGGAGTGAAGGCCATGCTGGGTAGGGAGATGAGATGGATGTAGGCGAGATGTCGAGGAATTTGGTGTTGAAGACGGTTCAAAGAAGAATGTCGTCAACAAAGTCGGGAAGTGGGGGTGGATGAGATCTGGAGAAGGATTAAGATGAGAAAGCAGGAAGAGAAAATAAGAAGAAGGAGAAGAAGCAGTAGAGATGGCCTGCTGGGAACTGGCAAGGTTTTGTGAGATCATCGACTGATCAATGATGGTTATCTCGAAGGGGGGGCCACCTAGACCCCGGATTCCTGGGGGGGCAAGGGGGGCGCTGCACGCTGCACGCGACAGCTGGGAAAGAGTGCGGGGGTTGGCCCAAGCTCCCGGGGCGGTGGGGTCTGCGTTTGCGGTCTGGATCCTCGGTGAGGATCCGCTTCAGCAGAGGATTGGGTGGCAACTCACCGAGCATCCCTGCCTAGAGGGTCTTTCTGTTGAGGGGGCTTGAGGGGTAAGTTGAGCTCCGAGGATGGGACCGGCACTTGTCAGGGTCTAGACTACTATCTTTGCCCGTGTGATGTGGAATAGTTATCCAGATGGGAGGTCATGAGGCTCATATCAATTGGCATTCATGGTCTACCATGGGTATTCGTATCTTACCGTGCTCCATATTGAGGGGGGCGAATCTCCTTGTCTCAGCCTGTTGGCTAGCTAACTCGCTGCCTTACCTGCTGTTTCATACTGCCCAGCACGACAGCTCAGCTCCAGCGTCCTCGTTCTCAACGACACTTACATCAAGAGGACTGACCTTCCCCTTGGATATTCAAGCTTCGAGTTGGTCCAAATGATAGGTGTTGTCTAACCTATATTGCTCGCTCTCGCCTTGTTTCGCAGGAAAACAAATTCGATCCTGGTCTCTGCAAAGATGGATTCACAGCACCATGCAAGTGCAGGGAGGGCTCAAGGCCTAAGCCAAGTCCATCGATATCACTACCAGCCGACAAAAAGATGCCGAGTCCCCACGCGAAGGATGCTGCCCAAGGACTGACTGGTAGGACCGGCCGGGCAATTCATTGGTTGCCTTATTGTACCGCCACTATGCGGTCGTGCTTGATGTCAATCCATTTCTGGCTTCCGCCCTTGTCAGACACCGAGAACAGGATGATTGGTGCGGATTGGATTGTGACTGCTGCCTTGGACAGCTGGCTGCATGATGTTGCTCACACCCCGCCAACGACAACGAGAAGGCTGCTGTTGGACAAGATGCACATTTTTCAATCTGACAACAAATTGCTTTGTTATGGCCAGCAGCTTTTCATTCTCGACATTTCGTCTCCTGGTTTGGAAACCATCGCCTTTGGCCACTTTCTTCTCCCATCGGAGACTCCTCTGTCCACAACGTGCTACAAAGCCTTGACGCACGTCGCACCATCGCGCACGCCGACGTCACGCTTGGCGGATGCTCATTCTGAGCCCACAAGCAAGACTCTTTCACATTGGTTGCCTGCGAGAAGAATCATCGTTATCGGCCAAAACGTTGGCACTGCCCAGCCGTCGACATGAATAACCTTGACGAGAGTAACATTGCCCGCACCTACCTGCACAATGCGCAGTATGAGATGAACGAGGGAGACACGGTTGTCTATATCAACATGCCGTCGTGGACCTTGGTCGAGCCCATAGACTGCGTCGGTGACACCTGGAGATCGCTCCACGTCAAGATGCACTCGGACAAGATTCGCAGCCTCAAATCGTCAAAGTTCAATAGCAAGCTTAAAGAGCTCCCGCCTACTCCGCCACTCGACGAGAACGGCCTCTTGAGGGAGGAGCTTATTGGTATGAAGTATGTCATGGACCTGACCCCCAGCATTGAGGGCGAAGAGGTCGTATACGAAATGGCCGAGATGTCCCTTACGCCGGGCATCATCGCCTGGTGGCGCAGCCAAGACACCTTTGAGGTTGATGCGGCTGCTGTCAACGGCCACGACGATGTCTGCCACTGTGGAAAGAAGCGGCCCCATTTCGAGGCTGCCGACGACAAGTTCAACATATGGAGCCGTCCGCCGGACCACCGCAACATTCCCGACTATTGCCCCATCAGACACCGCATTTGCATCCTCCGTCTGTTGTATCTCATCGAAGGCAAGTATGTCTTGCTCGACTCAGCTCCGCGTGTCTGGACGATGATTGCGATTTCCAAAATCTTCGGCTGTCCTGGTCTCATGGTATGTGCTCGCAACCTTCCTTCCTTCCTTGTCGATATGGCCATAGAACACCAGGTCTACCGTAACCCCTGTCAGACTCAAACCGCTTACAAGTTCATAGGTCAAGCCAGTAGCCCAATGGCTTTTGATGTGGCGAAATTCAACCTTTCTTGAGGTTCTTCCCGAAGAGGGGTTGCAGATTGGCATGACGTTCAAGTTCATCGACGTGACCCGATTCGTGTTTGAGATTTTGGTCTACGAGAAGGCACTCAAGGATGCTGGCGACAGGGGACGGTCGGCAGCGCCTAATACCACCATCTTCGGCCGCAAGGGCCGCGACCCTGGCGATGACCTCGACAACATGGTTCAACACGCGGCCCAGGCTTTAGTCCAGCGCAACTCTTCTGTGATGACTGTGCTTGGGAGCGATACAGTCTTTGAGGACCTGGACATTCCCGAGTGAAGCGACTTGCCGAAGTTCGGCGCAGACTCGCTGCTGAGACGGATAGCCATGAATGTGCGGCGGCTGTCGTGGTCCTCGACCATCTGAAACAGCGCATTTTGCACTTCTGGCGCAAGAACATCTGGGAGGAAGCTTTGGGATGTCTCACAGGGCCCGAGTGCGGGAAAGTTGACGACTTTCGCTTCCGCTACGTCGCACCGAATAGCCGCGAGCCTCTGAACACCATCTACGACCGCATGAACCCGGTGCAGAAGGGCATGTGTCTTTTCTTCCACAACCGCATCAACACTATCGCGAGAACAGGTCCTTGGCAGCCCGAGCCCCTGACGCCTGAGAGCCCCGCAACAAAATCCCTGACCTTTGCCCAGCGGTATGTCGGTGTCCTCGCCGTGGCCCTGAAGCGATCTTTTGAGAAGGTTATTGCGGCGCGGCCTCAGCTCTTTGCCGACTTTGACCGGGACTCGAAAACAGGCGTGGCCACCACGAACCCTTTCCGCCTCATCAGGTTCGATACCGAAGTCTTTGAGGTGCTACGTGAGTGTGTCGAAATTCCGCGCAACGACTTCTTCGACGTTCCCAAGAAGCGCACGCCCTCGCGCTTCCTAACGAATCACTTTCTCGCCTTTCTTGTGCCCGACGAGGTCAAGTTCCTGCCCGTCTGGGCGGGTGGGCAGGATGATGGGACCGGGCGGGTGTTCAACGACGAGCTGCCGCCCGCTGAGGACGGGCCGGACACGGGGTTCAGGGGCGGCGCGGCAGTCGTTTCGCCTTCGTTGGCATCAATGTCCGTTGTTGAGGGGCTGCGGGGGTTGGATCTCGAGTCGGTCCTAGCGAGCGAGACGACAAGCATGAACGTGCACAAAGATGGATCCATCATCTATAACCCCGGCCGGGTTATTGTGGACGACGAGTCGATCCACTCGGAGACTTTCACGGAGACTGGGGATGATTATGAGGCTGCACGATGGGAGACGTAAACGCCAACATTGTGGGACAAAGACGAAACATGATTTGGGAGGCACCGGGCACAAAAACCCGACGCTTCACAACTTGAGGCGTGGGACTATCTAGAACACGAGTCTGCTATTTTTAATGATGTCACGAGGATCGAAACATGAAAACCCTAGAACCAGGTTACGCAGAGGTTGGCAAGACTACATCGCATACCTTGGTGTGCCAGCGGAGGAAGTGTACCTAGCGGGTCTGCTCAGGCAAATAACACATGTGAACTTGAGTTGCTATTACGAGCAGCAAGTGAATGAACTAGCACGTTTGCATCTCTTGGGTATCGCTGCCATTATCTTGACGAGGCCACCTTGCCGTTAAGTCATCCCAGAAAATCTACCCCCTATTTAACGTGTTTCCAGCCCCCTTGGGGTTCGCCTCGACAAACTCGTCCCAAGCCCTCGCTTTGTACGTAGCTTCATCCGCCTTTTCGTAATCGTCCTCATCCGGCTCGGGTCTGTGAAAGCTGGCCTCGCCACCGCCCTCGATAATGCCGCCACGCTTCCTCTCCTCCTCCAGATACTCGTCAATGCTCATGGTCGGCAGGTTATGGCCCGTCCTAAAGACGCCAGCTTGCGCCTCCTCGCGCGAACCGACAAGCGTAAAGGGCCGCATGGGCTTCCCGGCCTTGCTGAGTAGCGGCCCGCTCTGTTCCAGTATGCTGCGCAGCCGGCGCGGCTCCAGCCTCTCGGCGTGGCCGCTCTCCTCGGCGGCGCGGCGCCGGCGCGCGTCCTCCTCGACCGTCTCCCTCGCCGGCAGCAGCGGCCGCGCGGTCGCCGCCTGCGCGAGGACCTCGAGCTCGCGGTTCAGCCCCTCGAGGCCTGAAAGGCGTTGTGCGCGGCAAACTCGAGCTGGGCGAGGTACAGCGCGCGCAGGATCTCCTCGTCGCCGTCATCGACGTAGCGGGGGTTGGCAGCGAGGGTGGCGAGCCGGGCTTTGAGATCCTTCTCAGCCCTGAAATTCGCGATCTTGGCGCCGCGACGCTTCGAGGGGTCGGAGGCGGCGACGGTGGAGAAGGCGGCGGGGTCGTCGGTGTAGCGGGAGTAGAGGGTCTTGTGGGCGGGCGTGAGGATCTCGTACGAGTCAAGGGAGGCTAGGAAGCGCTCGTAGGCTTCGCGGGCTTCAGAGAGGACCAGCTCGCGGTCGATGGGGTTCGGGGTCGGGGTCTTGAGGTAGAGGTCGGCAAGGAAGGATTCCGTGAGGAGGTAGGGGAGGTCTGGGGTCGCAATGTCGTCGAGGGGTTCGTTCGGGGAGAAGAGAGAGACACGGGAGATCGTTTCGATGGTATCGCGATGGGCCTGAATAGCGATCTCGAGGTCGGCGGCGTAGGAGGGGTTGGACACTGGGGAGGTAGCTTCGATGGCCTGCCGTTTCTGCGCGGCGAGCGCGGCGATCTGTTTGAGGGTGCGGGGCTCGTTGTCGTCTGCCATCGCGAGATGCTGTGCAGACGAGAGGGCGGTTTGGATGCGAGATCAGGGTCTCAAACGACAAAGTATGGGTGCTCCACGTTCTTTCGACAGGCTGTAGCGAGAGAGCAGGCTCAAGAACGGCGTCGGGGGGATAGTGAAATCAAAGCTGGCAGCAGTGGCAATTGGCAGGTTGCCCCGCGAAGTGGATGATGTTCAGGGTCTGGAGCTCTCTTATCTTATCTCCGCCAACGAGTGGCCAAACAGCTGTTTTGAAGCTTCCCTTCGCTGAGCGTCGTCGGCCGCAACATCTTCAGACCAGGCAGAACAAGAGTATGCCATAGGCACATCTGGGGCGCAAACTATGCATCCTCCATCGTCGTGTAGGTAGCTTGCCGTGCGGCTTGTAGGTGTAGCAAAGATGACAAACACAGTTTGAAATTCTGACTGATCCTCCTTCTCGAAGACTGCTCAGTTGAGATGGTAACCATCATGCTATTGGGTCTAGTTTAAGATGGAGAGTCATCCGTTTAATCTGTAGCATCAATGCTACGCCAAGACTGACCTCAAGTCTGATAAGTGATACATTTTGCGACGAATCCTCCTTCTGATCGACTGTGGAATTGTCACCAAGATTCACCCGTCCGCCTTGCTATCCATGGTCTCTTCACCGAAAGCTAACTATCAACTTACATGGCAACGTGAAGAGCTAGAGTCGTTTACATCTGGGGAAGGGCTCTCTAGATCCAGGAAGATCCACGATCGGATTTAAACCATTCACTCGGCGACTTCCTTTGAATCAGATACTACGGTGAATCAAAGCTTCGACTTCGCCAGGAACACGAGGAAGGAGCACCAACCGCCAACACTGATCAGGATTACAAAAGAGCTCACTTCTTCTCTTCACACCCCTACTGATACTTTCCCCCCTGACAACGCCATATATCTCAGCACTTGCAGCAGTCACGAAGCGCCTCAACTTAAACGGGACGTCTACTCGCTTCCTGTGCATGCTTGCTTGAGAGGATGACTGCTGAAAAGTTCCCTACTGGTCTGGACGTCACCGTCATCTCGATTCTCGCAGATGTACCGGAAACCATAGCTTCCAGCACATCTACATCAATAACGGGAAAGGAAGATGGACACTTCTATGTCAACAGATGCACTCAGGATACCGCCACAACCCAGGATAGCCAGAGTCGAGTTTCTGGCGACGATGAGGATGACTTCAGCAGCCACGATGAAGCTGACGAAAATTCAGACGATCGACAGCACAGCATGACCCCAGAAAGGCCTCGTAAAATCACCGAGAAGAAGCGCGCAGATCACGCTGCCTTTCACAACTGGCTTCAGAGCAACTCCAATGAGATCGCTCAATCGGCCCCTCAGCCGGTTCAAACCCTCAACCACACCTCCACTGCCATGATGGTACGCGAGAGTGAGAATCGCAAGATTATAGAAAATCCTCGGGAGTATCAGATTGAGCTCTTCGAGCGGGCGAAGCGAAAGAACATCATTGCTGTGTTACCCACCGGATCAGGAAAGACCTTAATCGCAGCCCTCCTTCTGCGATACACCCTCGAACAAGAAACCGCGGATCGACGAGCGGGCAAGCCCAAGAGAATCGCCTTTTTCCTTGTGGAAAAGGTTGCCCTTGCCCTCCAACAACATGCGGTTCTGGAGTGCAATCTTGAATTTCCTATTGACCGTGTGTGCGGTGACATGGTACGGTCGGACTGGATCAAGGAGTCATGGATGAAAAGATGGGATGACAACATGGTCATGGTCTGTACCGCCGCCATCCTTCAGCAATGCCTTGCCAGATCTTTCATCCGCATGGATCAGATCAACCTGCTTATCTTCGATGAAGCACACCACGCCAAGGGAAATCATCCGTATGCCCGAATCATCAAAGATTACTACATTACTGAACCTGACAAGGAAAGACGCCCCAAGATCTTCGGCATGACTGCCTCTCCGGTGGATGCCCTCACCGATGTCAAGATTGCTGCCGCTCAACTCGAAGGCCTGTTGCATAGTGAGATTGCGACAATCGAGCAGGACTCTGCATCATTCAAACAAATCCAAAAAGAAGTCGTCGAACAAGACTGCAAGTACTCTGCTCTCGAACCACCCTTCACCACCAATCTTCATAAGAAGATCCAAGAACAGGTGCGCTACAACAGGAACTTTGCAAAGGCGTTAAGCCACTCTTTGGAAATGTCGAGCTCCCTTGGCAGTTGGTGTGTCGATCGCTTCTGGCAGATATTTCTGACTGAAGAAACCCTCGCGAGAATGGCAGCGCAAACCGCACAAGACAATATTTTTGCCGATCGCGCCGAAAGGGAGCACGTTGCCATTGAGGAAGTCCGCAATATCATCAAGCAACATCAGTTCCTCCCAGTCACCAAAACCCTGCAAGACTTGTCGTCCAAAGTGCTGTGTCTTCTCGGTCAACTGGAACTGCGCTTCAGTGCTCCTACCGATCACAAGTGCATCATCTTTGTGGAGAAACGAAACACAGCCATGATTCTTGCTCACCTCCTCTCCTTGCCTGGGACTGGACCTCTATATCTGAAACCGGCTGCGCTTGTAAGTGAAATGCATCGGGAATCGTTGGTGCCGTACTAAACAGCATCAGGTCGGGAATCCATCTGACAACAGCCCTCTTGCCATGTCGTACAAAGAGCAAGTGATGACAATAACTAAGTTCAGACGCGGCGAATTCAACTGTCTTCTCGCCACTTCTGTGGCCGAGGAGGGCATTGACATCGCAGACTGCAAGATTGTCATTCGATTCGATCTTTTCAACTCGGTGATTCAGTATATACAATCCAAAGGCCGCGCTCGGCACTTGAACTCGGAGTATATTTGCATGGCCGAGCTAGGCAACGGCAAGCATACAAGGGCGAAGATACAAGCAAATTATGACCTCTCCCTCATCCGCCAATTCTGCAGCACACTGCCAGAAGACCGCAAGATCGTGGGCTGGGATCCCGAGGCAGCTCTTCACCATGGCGAGCGCGACCATGAGTTCCACATCATTCCATCCACGGGGGCCAAACTTACCTGGACCGGCAGCCTCGTGGTTCTGTCAACTTTTGCCTCTTCTCTACAGGTGAACGACGAAACCCTAAGTCCTTCCTATATGGTGTCTCTCATCGGTAGCGAGTACATCTGCGAAGTCCAGCTTCCGAGCAGATCTCCTATCTTGAGCGTGTCAGGCACGCTCCAGAAAAACAAGGCAGAGGCCAGGTGCTCCGCAGCGTTTGAAATGTGCATGAAGCTCATCAAGGGTGGGTTCATCAGCAATCACCTTCAGCCGACGTTTGCCAGAAAGCTCCCGGCCATGCGAAACGCACGCCTAGCCATCAGCTCCGAGAAACGTGATCGGTACAATATGAGGGTCAAGCCAGAGGTATGGTCACGGCGCGGACCGGCATCCTCTCTGTTCCTCACAGTCCTGAAGCTTCGTGCACCTGGTGCATTGAACAGGCCATCACAGCCACTTGCCCTCCTCACACGAGAGGTACTGCCAGAGCTTCCAGGAGTTCCGCTATTTTTCGGTAACTGTGGTCGGTCCATAGCAGAGGTAATATCTGTGGTGAAGCCCATGCACTTGGATGAGATACGTCTAGACAGCATAAGAGTCTTCACCCTGCGCATTTTCAAAGACATCTTCAGCAAAGTATACGAGTCCCAAGTCGCCGACCTGCCATACTTCCTGGCACCTGCTGCTCATGACCACAGTCATGAGTTCTCACCGAATGAAGACCCAGGGTCGCTGATTGACTGGAACCATCTGATGTTGACCAAAGAGGTCGAGTACTTGCCTTGGGATGAAGACCATAGTCCCAGCTTTTATCAAAACAAGTTTGTAATTGATCCATATACGGGATCGCGTAAGCTGTTTCTCAGAGGCATTCGGACAGATCTCAAGCCAACCGACTTGGTTCCAGACGGAGTTCCCGATCCCCCATTCAGGCTCTGGAAGGACGTTGAGCATACCATAAAGGAATACAGCATCAGTCTTTGGGCCAAGAGTCGAGCCCGGAGAGCTGGTGAATGGTTGGCGAAACAACCCGTGGTAGAAGCTGAGTTGGTCTCGCTGCGCCGGAACCTACTCGACGGATTCGCCGATTCCGAACAAGCAGGGTCTAGGATCTGTTATGTGATTCTCCAGCCGCTACAGATCTCAACACTCCCTGTCAAGGTCGTCGCTATGGCCTACAACTTTCCCGCCATCATCCATCGGATTGAATCGAACATGATCGCCCTTGACGCCTGCCGTATGTTGAACCTACAAGTTCGTCCCGACCTGGCTCTCGAGGCGATGACCAAAGATTCAAGCAACAGTGACGAGCAAGACCAGGAGAAGATTGATTTCCAGGCCGGCATGGGCAATAATTATGAGCGACTCGAGTTTCTCGGGGATTGCTTTCTCAAAATGGCAACCACCATCGCACTCTTTACTCGGATCCCTGACAGCAACGAATTTGAGTATCACGTCGAGCGAATGCTTCTTATTTGCAACCAGAATCTGTTCAATGTTGCATTGAAGAAGAACTTGCAAGAATACATCCGATCAAAGCAATTCGATCGCCGCAGTTGGTACCCCCAGGGTCTGAAGCAGAAGGCGGGCAAAGCCCAAGGAGCACAAAACTCACACTCATTAGCCGACAAGTCTATTGCTGATGTATGCGAGGCCATGATTGGCGCCTCCTATTTGTCGTACGCTGACGAGGGCAACTTTGACATGGCGGTACGCGCTGTGACGGCCGTCGTGAGAAACAAAAATCATGACATGAAATCATATGAGGACTACTACAACGCTTTTAAGATGCCGGTCTGCAAGCGGCCGAGCCAAGTGCTGTGCAGATGGAAGCGGAA